TCTTGTTTTCTCTGCGCGCCCTCCGCGCAGGATCTCCTCCTCCTCCCTCTCCTCTGCTCCTCTTTGCTTCCTTCTCCGCATCATCGTCACCATCGCCATCGCTCCCCACTCATCATCATCATCACCATCAGCATCACCATCACCATCCCGCGATCACTCACCATCATCGGCATCGAACGATCATCATCATCATCATCATCATCATCATCATCATCATCATCATCACTACTCGCTGACTTGAGGCCTGAATATGGAGGAAGTCTCGAGCGGGGGCCTCGTCTGTGAGTGAATTGCGAGGAAGTCTCAGGCGGGGGCCCCCTCCCTATGGGTCCCGCATTTCATGTTTGAATCCGAGCGGGTCATCCGCAACGTGCAACTGTCGTCACTTTTGGGCTCTTGAGATATGAATATGGAGGAAGTCTCGAGCGGGGGCCTCGTCTGTGAGGCGGGGGCCCCCTCCCTATGGGGCCCGCACTTCATGTTTGAATCCGAGCGGGCCATCCGCAACGTGCAACTGTCGTCACTTTTTGGCTCTTGAGACTTGAATATGAAAGAAGTCTCGAGCGGGAGCCTCGTCTGTGAGGGAATTGTAAGGAAGTCTGAGGCGGGAGCCCCCTCCCTATGGGGCCCGCACTTCATGTTTGAATCCGAGCGGGTCATCCGCAACGTGCAACTGTCGTCACTTTTTGGCTCTTGAGACTTGAATATGGAGGAAGTCTCGAGCGGGAGCCTCGTCTGTGAGTGAACTGTGAGGAAGTCTGAGGCGGGAGCCCCCTCCCTATGGGGCCCGCACTTCATGTTTGAATCCGAGCGGGTCATCCGCAACGTGCAACTGTCGTCACCTTTGGGCTCTTGAGACTTGAATATGGAAGAAGTCTCGAGCGGGAGCCTCGTCTGTGAGTGAATTGAGAGGAAGTCTCAGGCGGGAGCCCCCTCCCTATGGGGCTTGCTTTTCATGTTTGAATCCGAGCGGGTCATCCGCAACGTGCAACTGTCGTCACTGTTGGGCTCTTGAGATATGAATATGGAGGAAGTCTCGAGCGGGAGCTTCGTATGTGAGTGAATTGCGAGGGAGTCTCAGGCGGGGGCCCCCTCCCTATGGGGCCCGCACTTCATGTTTGAATCCGAGCAGGTCATCCGCAACGTGCAGCTGTTGTCACTTTTGGGCTCTTGAGATTTGAATATGGAGGACGTCTCGAGTGGGAGCCTCGTCTGTGAGTGAATTGTGAGGAAGTCTGAGGCGGGAGCCTCCTCCCTATGGGGCCCGCACTTCATGTTTGAATCCGAGCGGGTCATCCGCAACGTGCAAATGTCGTCACTTTTGGGCTCTTGAGATATGAATATGGAAGAAGTCTCGAGCGGGAGCCTCGTCTGTGAGTGAATTGAGAGGAAGTCTCAGGCGGGAGCCCCCTCCCTATGGGGCCCGCACTTCATGTTTGAATCCGAGAGGGTCATCCGCAACGTGCGACTGTCGTCACTTTTGGGCTCTTGAGATATGAATATGGAGGAAGTCTAGAGCGGGAGCTTCGTCTGTGAGTGAATTGCGAGGAAGTCTCAGGCGGGGGCCCCCCTCCCCCCTATGGGGCCCGCACTTCATGTTTGAATCCGAGCGGGTCATCCGCAACGTGCAACTGTCGTCACTTTTGGGCTCTTGAGACTTGAATATGGAGGAAGTCTCGAGCGGGAGCCTCGTTTGTGAGTGAATTGCGAGGAAGTCTCAGGCGGGAGCCCCCTCCATATGGGGCCCGCGCTTCATGTTTGAATCCGAGCGGGCCATCCGCAACGTGCAACTGTCGTCACTTTAGGGCTCTTGAGACTTGAGTATGGAGGAAGTCTCGAACGGGAGCTTCGTCTGTGAGTGAATTGTGGGGAAGTCTCAGGCGGGAGCCCCCTCCCTATGGGGCACGCGCTTCATGTTTGAATCCGAGCGGGTCATCCGCAACGTGTAATTGTCGTCATTTTTGGGCTCTTGAGGCTTGACTATGGAGGAAGTATCAGGCGGGAACCTTGTCTGTGAGTGAATTGTGGGGAAGTCTCAGGCGGGAGCCCCCTCCCTATGGGGCTGCCGCGCGCGAGATGGTCTGGCCCGTTTCGATTCAGACATTCTCGCCAGTCGGAGCTCCGAGATACTGCGCGCGAGGTGGTTTGGCCCGTTTCGCCTGAGACATCCTTGAAACTCTGGGATCCGAGAGGAAGGGGGGAGGAGGGAGGAGGGGCCAGACCCAAACGAACCATTCCATTTTACTTATGTTGTCGGATTGTGCTCTGGGAGGTATCGGGGCGCCCCTGGCCCGACGGAGGAGGTAGCTAGCGCTGACGCGCGAGCGCGAGTCCTGGGTAAATTCCAAGGGTTTCTCAGGGGGCGAGCCATGCTTGAGCAAGTCGTCGCGATGCCTCGAGCGAGAGCGCAGCGAGCAGGGAGGAGGCGGGAGAAAGTGAGGAGGAAGCAGGAAGAATGGACGAGGGAGAGGGGACCAGGCCCAAACTATTTGTTTGAGGGCGTCCATGGCGAGCATGCCTTCTGGAAGCGACATTGAGAGTGCGAAGGGATCCCTGGCATGGCGGAGGAAGCGGAGAAGAGGGAGGAGGAGGGAGGAGGAGGAGGAGGAGGAGGAGGAGGAGGAGGAGGAGGAGGAGGAGGAGGAGGAGGAGGAGGAGGAGGAGGAGGAGGAGGAGGAGGATGACGGGGACGAGGAGGAGGGGGGCGGGGGAGGGGGGGGGAGCGAGGACATGGAGGAGGAGGAGGAGAGGAGGAGGAGGAGGAGGAGGAGGAGGAGGAGGAGGAGGAGGAGGAGGGAGGAGGAGGAGGAGGAGGAGGAGGAGCATTGCGAGGAGCATTGCGAGGAGCATTGCGAGGAGGATGAAGATGAGGAGGAGCAGGAGCAGGAGGAGGAAGAGGAGCACTGCGAAGAGGAAGAGCACGAGGAGCACGAGGAAGAGCACGGCGTGCAGGTGGAGGGGGAGCAGGAGGAGTGGACAAACAAACACAGTGCGATGAGTAGGTAGAGGATGAGAAGGAGGATGCGGCTGAGGAGGAACATTGTCGAGGATGAGGATGAGGAGGGTTCGTACGAGGAGGAGGCAAGGAGAAGTGAGATGAGGAGGTAAAGGAGGAGGAGGGGGAGGAATAATAATAATGATAATATGAATCATCATCATAGTAGTAGTAATACTATGCAGAGTAATACTGAGAAGGAGTAAGACGAATCCGAACACTATTAACATACGAATAATCAAGACTTCCATCACGGATTATATACACATAGCGCGAATCCAAAGATTATGAATAGTAAAAACGCAATAGTACTAAGAATACTACTACCCATAGTGATAACACAAATAGCAAGAGTAATACCGATAGTAAGAAGAATAATGCGAATAATTCACATAGTGCTGTTAACACGAAGGATGAAACGAGTAATTCTCTACGACTACTACCATTACTACTACTACTACTACTACTACTACTACTACTATTACTACTACTACTACTACTACTACTACTACTACTACTACTACTACGACTACTACTACTACTACTACTATACTACTACTACTACTACTCACTACTACTACTACTACTACTACGACTACTCCTACTACTACTACTATACTACTACTACTACTAGTACTACTCTACTGCTACTATTGCTGCTACTACTACTACTACTACTACTGCGACTACTACGACTACTACTACTACTACTACTACTATACTACTACTACTACTACTACTACTACTACTACTACTACTACTACGACGACGGCGGCGGCGGCGGCGGCGGCGGCGGTGGCGGCGGGGCGGCGGCGGCGGCGGCGACGACGACGACGACGACGACGACGGCGACGACGACCGACGACGATCACGACGACCGACGACGACGACGGCGGCGGCGGCGGCGGCGACGACGACGACGACTACTACTACTACTACTAATGATACGAATCGTAATAAGAGGAGGAGGAGGAGGAAGAGGAGGAGGAGGAGGAAGAGGAGGAGGGGGAGGACCAGGATAATCAGGATGAGGATGATGATGAGGAGGAGGAGGAGGAGGAGGAGGAGGAGGAGGAGGAGGAGGAGGAGGAGGAGGAGATGCGCGAGGAAGCGAGGGGGTGATGAGGCAGAGGAGGTGTAGTGGAAGGGGGGAGGGCGAGGGCGAGTCGGAGAATGACGTGGATGCGGAGAAGGAGGAAGAAGACGACGACGATGACGGAAATCTCGACGACGGCGCCGAAGGCGCAGGCGGATCAGGAGCAAGAGGACGCGCGAACACTGCGAGGAGCCACCTTGGCTCAATTTCCAGTTTCCCCAGTCCAGTCAACACTCCGAGGAGCCACCGCAGGCGGATCAGGAGCAGAGTCCAGTTTCCCCAGTTAGCATCTTGTGAGCCTGGTCCTCCTTACCAAGCACCGCTGTGAGCGAATCGGAGGCATTATTCCAGGCGTTTGCGCCGTTCTCGAGCCCGCAGGCCTTGCGCCCGCGCGACTTAACTCCGGAATTTTTAATCGTGCCGAGCTGGTGCGTCTGGCTTGGAAATAATTTAACTCCGGAGTTTGGTCGCTACCAGGCCGGTCAATCCGCCAGCCTGGCGGCGATTTAGCTCGCGAGTTAAGTCTTCCGCGGGCTGGCGTTTGCCCAAAGGTCGGGGCGACTCAACTCTGAACCTAAGTCTCGAATTTCCCCTCCGGATTCAGTCCCAACCGAGGAAACGTCCTTCAACGCCCTCAGCCCAGAGGGCTGATGGGATCCGAAGCGGTGCGCCGCAAGCTCCCACAGCGCCGCTCCTTCTCCCGCTCCCGCTCCTCCTGCGGACCCTTCTGGTCATCCTTCCCCCCTCCTGCCCCCTCAGCTCCTTCCAACTCCTCGCGTAGGCGTAGGTTGGCTCAAGTTTGGCCCAGGGTTCCCGCATTCGTGGTCTCTGCGTTTGGGCGTGGCGGGAGGCATGGTAGCGCCGCCCGCCGTCGCGCGGACTTGTCCATCTACTTACGCTCTGCTTGCGATGTCGTGGCTGCTGGCCAGCCTTGCGCGTGGCAGCGCGACTGGCGACATCGATGGGATCAACAATGTCGCGAACAGCACCGCCAGCCGTAGCCTTGGCAGCCTCACCTTTGCGGTTGGAGCTGCCAGCACTCCCGCGCCGAGCCTGCGTGGATCGTCCACCGACGCGCAGCGAAGCTGCGCCTTCTGGGACCTCTTGGACATCAAGGGCAGCGTGTGCCCGCAGCAGTGGCAGGGCCAGTACGCCGGGACCCCCTCGTGCAAGAAGTCGTGCTGGGAGGGAGAGGACTGCGGGTGGAAGTGCGACCTGACGGACGGCACCAAGGCCAGCGTCGACATGCAGGCGTACGTCCACGCGTCTCACGGAGAGGGCTACTGCGCTCGGAACCCGTCCAACGACCCGTGCCTCGGCTGGGCGATGGCTGCACCGATTGTGCAGCCAGTGGCATGAGCAGTAGCGCCCAGGCGTCTGCTTCCCTGCAGTCCACCGACGCGCAGCGAAGCTGCGCCTTCTGGGATGGCTTGGACATCAAGGGCAGCGTGTGCCCGCAGCAGTGGCAGGGCCAGTACGCCGGGACTGCCTCGTGCAAGTCGTGCTGGGAGGGAGAGGACTGCGGGTGGACTTGCGACTTGACGGACGGCACCAAGGCCAGCGTCGACCTGCAGGCGTACGTCCACGCGTCTCACGGAGAGGGCTACTGCGCTCGGAACTCGCCCAACGACCCGTGCCTCGGCTGGCAGGTGTTCGGCGATGGCTGCACCGATTGTGCAGCCAACGGCATGAGGGGCGCGGAGGACTTACATTGGTCCCGCGGCTGTCACGCATTTTGGGGGGCAGAGGTCACCCGAGTCTGGATGATACAAGAGGTCATACCCTTTGAATTGGACTTCCACCACTGGCGAGTTCATTTCCAGGTTGACCTCACTTCGAAGTCAATATCCGTAAGGGCTTCGCCCCCTGCCGCCGGCCCCCTCTCTCGGAGAATGGGCCATGGAAGAGCTAAGTCATGAGGCCTTGGCGCTGTCGTGAAGCAGTATCGAAACTTCATGCGAAGCCGATTCGCAATCATCAAAACCAACTGATCACAAGAGGGGTTACCACACCTGGCGATTGGTAAGACGTGTATGGTTTACGGGCTTGGTTACCACACCTTGCGATTAAAGGGCCGAGGGAGTTCTCGCAGTTTGGGTTACCACGCCTTGCGATGGATGTGCGTGAAGGGTGGCACCGAATTTCAGAAATGTGGCAAATCCCATGTGTTTTTGGACCCTGACCCCGCGGATCTGCGTAAGGGGTGGCGCCGAATTTCAGAAATGTGGCACATCCCCTGTGTTTTTGGACCCTGACCCCGCGGATTTGCGTGAGGAGTGGCACCGAATTTCAGACATGTGGCAAATCCCCTGTGTTTTTAAACCCGACCCCGCGGATCTGCGTGAGGGGTGGCACAGAATTTCAGACATGTGGCAAATCCCTTGTGTTTTTGGACCCTGACCCCGCGGATCTGCGTGAGGGGTGGCACCGAATTTCAGAAATGTGGCAAATCCCTTGTGTTTTTGGACCCTGACCCCGCGGATCTGCGTAAGGGGTGGCACCGAATTTCAGACATGTGGCAAATCCTTTGTGTTTTTGAACCCTGGCCCCGCGGATCTGCGTGAGGGGTGGCACCGAATTTTAGAAATGTTGCACATCCTTTGTTTTTTTTGACCCTGACCCCGCGGATCTGCGTGAGGGGTGGCACCGAATTTCAGACATGTGGCAAATCCCATGTGTTTTTGGACCCTGACCCCGCGGATCTGCGTGGGGGGTGTCGATTTCGAGCCCCCCCAGCAATTCAGAGAACGCGCCCAGGGGGTGCTAAAAATCTGGTTTGGGCCCCCCCCCCCTCGCGCGGTCAATCAACTAGTTACAGTAACCAGCAAGAAGCAGAAGTGTAACACTGGAAATTATAAACTACGACTGGCATAGGAAACTGCGAATCACGGGCCTACAGCCTGGTGGCCCCACAAGGGGGCCGGCGGATCCCAGGCTGAACTTGAAGACGCCTCAATTCCAGTTAACCCTCACTTCCAAGTCAATATTCAGACCGATCTGAACAAAATAGGCTACGATTTCCTTGGAGGAAGTCCTGCTGTGATCCACTGCGACCTAGTGGATGATGATCAAGATGCGATCCACATTCCCGTCAGAACTCTTGGTGGCAAGTGTTGCGTCACTGTCGTCTCGGTTCTCTTGGCGATAATGGCCACACTATTATGGTTTTGGTGTTCATCGAACAAGTGGCTGCAGATGGCTTATCAGGTGCCCGTGTCGTTAATCGTCCTTATGCATGTGTGTGTCGCGTTCGTGCCGTCTGAATGGTGCTGGGGCTGGACTACATTCATGATCCGCTCCCCTGGCTCCGTGAACAGAGTCGAGGTACAGGGGGTTCGCAGCGGAGTCAAAGTGGACGACATTAGGAGATTCGCTTGTTCATACTTGCAGGCGCACCAATCTTATATCGTCTATTCGGACAACTGCCAGGCCTACGCTCAGGCATTGGAAGGATACGTGCGCAACGATGGACAACCACAGCTGATCAAACAGACATTTGTAAACACAATTGTCTCGCCATATCATACTCGCCTGTTTGTGTTAGTCCAGATAACCACTGTTCTTGCCTTAGTGGTTCTTACGGTTCTCAGCATGGTTCGGGACAAGCTGGGGGGGGGGGGAGACCGCGCGCTTGATTGGCATGGTTCAAAATTTGAGAGACATTGGCAGCCGTATTTCAATTTTTCATCTTTCCATCAATGTGGTCTCAGGTGTTATGACAATTGTAATGGGAGATTTTAGCTTGCTACCTGTCTGCGTCGCATTGTTCATGTTTGCGCTCTGGTTCGTGTTCTTCTTCGGTGTGACACCGAGGGTGCAGCAGGGCGATGGCGCGTTCCACGAGCCCCTCGTTCCGCCAATGGCCGCGCATCCAGAGGAGGAGAATCTCAAGTGCGTTGTGATGAGCAAAGCAATGTTCTGGATGGTTAACTTCTACGTGATCGCGTATCCCATCGTGGCCGTCCTCTACTGCAGGCTGCCTGACGTCCGTGCGGACATGCATAGGCGGAACCACAAGATAAAGATCATGGAGTTCTTGCTGTCGCTTTTCTGGAGCATGGCGTTCTCACACCTGCTGTACAAGTGCATCGTGGAGAGGATGAAGGATGCGCAAGGCCAGGGATACCAACCTATCATCGATGAGTCGAGCATTGAGCCCCCGCCCGAGATGCCGGAGGTGAACGACCTGGCCTCGCTGCTGAAGGCCCAGTATACAGACTTCGACAGCATCAAGCCGCTCTTCCGCGAGGCGTTGCAGGTGCGCCGCGAGGTCCTCGGCGACCGGCACCCCGACACGCTCACCTCGGTGAACAACCTGGCCTCGCTGCTGCAGGCCCAGGGGAACCTCGCCAGCGCCGAGCCGCTCTTCCGCGAGGCGTTGCAGGCACGCCGCGAGGTCCTCGGCGACCGGCGCCCCGACACGCTCACCTCGGTGAACAACCTGGCCTCGCTGCTGAAGGCCCAGGGAGACCTCGCCGGCGCCGAGCCGCTCTACCGCGAGGCGTTGCAGGCGCGCCGCAAGGTCCTCGGCGACCGGCACCGCAACACGCTCGCCTCGGTGAACAACTTAGCCTCGCTGCTGAAGGCCCAGGGGGACCTCGCCGGCGCCGAGCCGCTCTACCGCGAGGCGTTGCAGGCAAGCCGCGAGGTCCTCGGAGACTGGCACCCCGACACGCTCATCTTGGTGAACAACCTGGCCTCGCTGCTGAGACCCCCGGGGAACCTCGCCGGCGCCGAGCCGCTCTACCGCGAGACGTTGCAGGCGCGCCGCGAGGTCCTCGACGCGCTCGCCTCGGTGAACAACCAGGCCTCGCTGCTGAAGGCCCAGGGGGACCTCGCCTGCGCCGAGCCGCTCTACCACGAGGCGTTGCAGGCACGCCGCAGGGTCCTCGGCGACCGGCACCCCGACGCGCTCGGTGAACAACCTGGCCTCGCTGCTGCAGGACCTGGGGGACCTCGCTGGCGCCGAGCCGCTCTACCGCGAGGCGTTGCAGGCAAGCCGCGAGGTCCTCGGCGCCCGGCGCCCCGACGCGCTCACCTCGGTGAACAACCTGGCCTCGCTGCTGAAGGCCCAGGGAGACCTCGCCGGCGCCGAGCCGCTCTTCCGCGACGCGCTGCAGGCAAGCCGCGAGGTCCTCGGCGCCCGGCACCCCGACACGCTCACCTCGGTGAACAACCTGGCCTCGCTGCTGAAGGCCCAGGGGGACCTCGCCGGCGCCGAGCCGCTCTACCGCGAGGCGTTGCAGGCGCGCCGCGAGGTCCTCGGCGACCGGCACCCCAACACGCTCGCCTCGGTGAACAACCTGGCCTCGCTGCTGCATGACCAGGGGGACCTCGCCGGCGCCGTGCCGCTCTACCGCGAGGCGTTGCAGGCAAGCCGCGAGGTCCTCGGAGACCGGCACCCCGACACGCTCATCTCGGTGAACAACCTGGCCTTGCTGCTGCAGGCCGCGAGGCGTTGCAGGCGCGCCGCAAGGTCCTCGGCGCCCGGCGCCCCGACACGCTCACCTCAATGAACGACCTGGCCTTGCTGTTGAAGGCCCAGGGGGGCCTCGCCGGCGCCGAGCCGCTCTACCGCGAGACGTTGCAGGCGCGCCGCGAGGTCCTCGGAGCCCGGCACCCCGACACGCTCACCTCAATGAACGACCTGACCTCGCTGTTGAAGGCCCAGGGGGACCTCGCCGGCGCCGAGCCGCTCTACCGCGAGGCGTTGCAGGCGCGCCGCGAGGTCCTCGGAGACGGGCACCCCGACACGCTCGCTTCGGTGAACCACCTGGCCACGCTGCTGCAGGCCCAGGGGGACCTCGCCGGCGCCGAGCCGCTCTTCCGCGAGGCGTTGCAGGCTTCGGCGACCGGCACCCCGACATGCTCAACTATGTGAACAACCTGGCCTCGCTGCTGAAGGCCAAGGAAGGCAACTGAGGTCCTGCCGCGCCGCTGGGGGCCGAGGGCGGCCCCGAGCCAGGCTGGCTGCCGCTACGCGCCCCCTCTCTAGCTCCTCCGCCTCCTCCTCCTCCTCCTCCTCCTCCTCCTCCTCCTCCTCCTCCTCCTCCTCCCCCCCTTCCCCAGGAAGGGTCCGGTTCGGGCCGGTTCGGGCCGGTTCGGCGGCGGGCCGGTTCGGTTGCACCAGTTCGGTTTTCGGCGCCGGTCCGGTTTGAGCCGGTCCGGTTTGCCAGTCGGTTCTGCCGGTTCGGGTCGGGCGGCGGTCCGGTTTTGGGCGGTTCGGTTCGGGGGTCGTCGACCTCCGGGGGGGTCGTCGACCCTCGGGGGGTCGTCGACCGGCGGGGGGGGGGATCGCCGTTGAACAAAAAGCGAGGAGGAGGCCAGCGCCACCCCCCCCGTGGCCCCGGCCACCCCCCCGTGGCCGGGGCCACCCCCCCCGTGGCCGAGGCCACCCACCCCGTGGGAGCCTCCGAGGGAGCCTCCGAGGGAGCCTCCGAGGGAGCCCCGAGGGGCCCGAAAGGGAGGGGGGGGCCACGGGGGGGGTGGCCCCGGCCACGGGGGGGGTGGCCCCGGCCACGGGGGGGGTGGCCGGGGTCACGGGGGGGGGTCCCGGCCACGGGGGGGGGTGGCCCCGGCCACGGGGGGGGTGGCGGGTGGACTGCTGGTGGGGTGGCTCCCGCGGGAACCCGGGTACCCCGGGGGCGGCCCCCTGCCCTCGCGCGGGGGGGCCGCCGATGGGGCCCGCCCTCCCGCGGTCCGCCGCGCGCCCGACCCCTCCCCGCCCCCTCCCGGGCGTCGTCGTCGTCGTCGTCGTCGTCGCCGCCGCCGTCGTCGCCGTCGCCGTCGCCGTCGCCGTCGCGCGCGGCGCCCGCCAGGGGAGGAGGAGGAGGAGGAGGCGGAGGAGGAGGAGGCGGAGGAGGAGGAAGGACGGAATTGGACTACGTGGTGAATTGGGTGGCCGCCTTCGGCCCGGCCCTAGCGTTGGAGGGAGTCGGGGCGGCAAAGGCTGCCCCGCTCTCGGACGTAACGGGCTTCGTCGCCACTTAGTGGCGGGCCCCGGGAGGGGCACGACCTATGAACACCTATGTTGACGATTGCGGCGGCGAGGAAAAACAGCGCGGGGACGACGACGGGCGCCCACGCCCTCCACCCTCCGGACCTTCCACCCAGAAGGTTTTGGAGTTTTTCGTGTCTGGTTTGTCTGCGTTTGTCTGCTTTTGTCTGCGTTTGTCTGATTTGTCTGTGTTTGTCTGCTTTTGCTTGCTGCTGCGTTCGATCTGCGCAGCATCACGAACGTCACCATCATCAATATATTCACCATCGTAACCATCGTCATTAACATTGCAGATATCATCAACATACACCATGACAACTATTCCACACCACCACGATTAACATTGCAGGCATCCTCAACATTAAAATTCACAGCAACATGAGCGTCACCGTCGTATAGGTACGGAATGTAAGATTAGGCTGGCAGTGCTAGGTTAAGGTTAGGTCGGGGCTACTAGGTCAGGTTGGCACCATTATGTTAAAATTAAGTTGGGGCTGCTAGGTTAGGTCAGTCCAAGCTTCTAGGACTATAGTAGGTTCGGTTTTGGACTATGAATATATAAATGTGTATATATATATATATATATATATATAGTTGGGGGGGGTGCTAGGTTAGGTTGGGGCTACGTCTAGCTCAGTTGAGATAACTTGGTTTGGTTGGGACTTCTCTCCCTCGCATTTTTTGCAGGGTTCTGGTTCGAGGCGTCCTTTTCGCCCCGAGGGGGCTGTGGAGATGAGCTCCACAGTGCGCGCGGGCCTGGCGGACGCCATGCGCGAGCTTCCACATGAGTTGCTCGTGTCGCATGGCCCGCTGTGCGCGTGGAATACCAGCGGCCGCAAGGCCACGCGAGGCCTGGGCGACTACCTCTTGAAAAGCGAGTGGTGGCGCGTGATCAGGGCGGCTGCCAAGGTCACTGCGCGACAAACACATACCGATGCCGATGCTACCCCACGCCAACTCTCCCCCTCGCGAGCGGGGGAGGGATCATGGGGCAGCGTCGCCATCGGTATGGGCTTTTGTCCCAGGTCAACGCTTCGCTCTGCTTCGGCTTGGCCGACTGGGAGGGGGCGATTGCAATGGTGCCAGACTTCTCCTATTCTTCCTCCTCCTCCTCCTCCTCCTCCTCCTCTTCTCCTCTTCCTCCCTCCTCCCTCCTCCCTCCTCCCTCCTCCTCTTCCTCCTCCTCCTCCTCTTTCCCCCCCCCCCCTCGCTCCTGGGGTGTTCGAGGGAGGACGCGTGAATTGACATCTCTTTTGGAAGAACACCAGTCCTTGTTTTTAGAATTATGGGGGGAGACGCGCATCAAACCCAAGTTTCACCTTCTGTTCCATGTCATCTGATGGCCTGCGGCCAATCCCACCACCAGGCCTTGGTTGAATTATACGCTTCTTGGGCTTGTTAGGCCTCTTGGAGCACCGCGTGGGCCTTCTTTGATTTGTTGGGGCCATCAGAAGGTTAATTACTCCGACGGTAGGACACCGCATGAGAATCTGTTTAGTTTACCCTTTGCCCTTTCCTCTTCCTCCTGGGGCCCCCGCCTGAGACTTCCTCGCAATTCACTCGCAGACGAGGCCCCCGCTCGAGACTTCCTCCATATTCATATCCCAAGAGCCGAAAAGTGGCGACAGTTGCACGTTGCGGATGACCCGCTCGGATTCAAACGCGAAGTGCGGGCCCCACAGGGAGGGGGCCCCCGCCTGAGACTTCCTCACAATTCACTCACAGACGAGGCCCCCGCTCGAGACTTCCTCCATATTCAAGTCTCAAGAGCCCAAAAGTGACGACAGTTGCACGTTGCGGATGACCCGCCCGGATTCAAACATGAAGTGCGGGCCCCATAGGGGAGGGGCTCCTGCCTGAGACTTCCTCGCAATTCATTCACAGACGAGGCCCCCGCTCGAGACCTCCTTCATATTCAGGCCTCAAGAGCCCAAAAGTGACGACAGTTACACGTTGCGGATGACCCGCTCGGATTTAAACATGAAGTGCGGGCCCCATAGGGAGGGGGCCCCCGCCTGAGACTTCCTCGCAATTCACTCACAGACGAGGCCCCCGCTCGAGACTTCCTCCATATTCAAGTCTCAAGAGCCCAAAAGTGACGACGGTTGCACGTTGCGGATGACCTGCTCGGATTCGAACACGAAGTGCGGGCCCCATAGGGGTGGTGCCCCCGCCTGAGACTTCCTCGCAATTCACTCGCAGACGAGGCTCCCGCTCGAGATTTCCTCCATATTCATATTTCAAGGGCCCAAAAGTGACGACAGTTGCACGTTGCGGATGACCCGCTCGGATTCAAACATGAAGCGCGGGCCCCACAGGGAGGGGGCTCCCGCCTGAGACTTCCTCACAATTCACTCACAGACGAGGCTCCCGCTCGAGACTTCCTCCATATTCAAGCCTCAAAAGCCCAAAAGTGACGACAGCTGCACGCTGCGGATGACCCGCTCGGATTTAAACATGAAGTGCAGGCCCCGTAGGGAGGGGGCCCCCGCCTGAGACTTCTTTGCAATTCACTCACAGACGAGGCCCACGCTCGAGACTTCTTCCATATTCAAGTCCCAAGAGCCCAAAAGTGACGACGGTTGCACGTTGCGGATGACCCGATCGGATTCAAACATGAAGTGCGGGCCCCATATGGAGGGGGCTCCCGCCTGAGACTTCCTCACAATTCACTCACAGACGAGGCTCCCGCTCGAGACTTCCTCCATATTCAAGTCTCAAGAGCCCAGAAGTGACGACGGTTGCACGTTGCGGATGACCCGCTCGGATTCAAACATGAAGTGCGGGCCCCGTAGGGAGGGGGCTCCCGCCTGAGACTTCCTCACAATTCACTCGCAGACGAGGCCCCCGCTCGAGACTTCCTCCATATTCATATTTCAAGAGCCCAAAAGTGACGGCAGTTGCACTTTGCGGACGACCCGCTCGGATTCAAACATGAAGTGCGGGCCCCACAGGGAGGGGCCCCCGCCTGAGACTTCCTCACAATTCACTCACAGACGAGGCTCCCGCTCGAGACTTCCTCCATATTCAAGTCTCAAGAGCCCAAAAGTGACGACAGTTGCACGTTGCGGATGACCCGCTCGGGCTCAAACATGAAGTGCGGGCCCCATAGGGAGGGGGCTCCCGCCTGAGACTTCCTCGCAATTCACTCACAGACGAGGCCCCCGCTCGAGACTTCCTCCATATTCATATCTCAAGAGTCCAAAAGTGACGACAGTTGCACGTTGCGGATGACACGCTCGGATTCAAACATGAAGTGCGGGCCCCACAGGGAGGGGGCTCCTGCCTGAGACTCCTTCACAATTCACTCACAGACGAGGCTCCCGCTCGAGACTTCTTCCATATTCAAGTCCCAAGAGCCCAAGAGTGACGACAGTTGCACGTTGCGGATGACCCGCTTGGATTCAAACATGAAGTGCGGGCCCCATGGTGGGGGGGTGGGGTGGGGGGGGGGGGGGAGGGGAGGGGGGGGGGGGGGGGGGGCCTGAGACTTTCTCGCAATTCACTCACAGACCAGGCCCCCGCTCGAGACTTCCTCCATATTCAGGCTTCAAGTCAGCGAGTAGTGATGATGATGATGATCGTTCGATGCCGATGATGGTGAGTGATCGTGGGATGGCGATGGTGATGCTGATGGTGATGATGCTGATGAGTGGGGAGTGATGGTGATGGTGATGATGATGCGGAGGAGGAAGCAAAGAGGAGCAGAGGAGAGGGAGGAGGAGGAGATCCTGCGCGGAGGGTGCGCAGAGAAAACAAGGGCCCCACTTAGGATGCGGGGAACTTTGTTTAAGCAGGAAATTACTTCGACGGTAGGGCCCCGCATGAGAGTCTGTTTAGTTTACCCTTTGCCCCTTCCTCTTCCTCCTGGGGCCCCCGCCTGA